CTGGACGTGTTTCTGACAAAAACACTGAACAACGAAGCATTTTACATGCCTGCTTTGTTTTACCATGAGTCCATAAAAATGTAAACCTGTAGTGTTATTACAGTTAATTCCTTCGTGCTCTGTCAGGAAGCCAGAGGATCAGCCTCTTTGTCCCACCCTCTCTCAAACAACGGTGCAGAGTGAGGGACAGCAAAGGGACAACGGGGGATAAAAGTAGAGCGGAAAGCAGCAAATTATGTCTACGAGACGACCACAGTCATGAATAATATTGGTCGTGGTAGCACCATGAAAAGAAAACCAAGGATGACCAAATGTGCCGCTGTGTCAGCTCACACATCTAGCTCCTGTTACCCAGAGCTCTCCGCCGGCGCTCGCTGCTACCACGGTAACACTTTTAAAGCCCTGGACGTGTAAAACAGTAGACACAACAGACCCTGGGTCAGTTATCGTGTTGTCAAAAATCTTAATTTCAGTCGGAGAAAGATCGCTCACTCCGTTCCACTGATGGCTGATTGTCAAATTAGCCTGATTTGTACAGCAAAGCCATTAGCTCTTTTTACTCGGAGAACCACCACGCTATTGTTTCTGCTGCTTGCTGAGTCCCATCAGGTCGGGGGGTTCCTTCAGCCTGGCTCAGGATCATTTTCATCTAGCCTTACAAGCATGTCCCAGACCACTTCAGAGCTGTTTCCTGGACGCTAAACCAACAACAGCCTTTCTCGTCTTGAGTTCATGAATGCTAAGCTACAGTGTGACGTAGATGTCAGGTTTTTCTAATCCTAGAGTTTCACCTTCTATCTTCTATGCAGGAGATAGGTGTAGGAGACTATTTTCATGTTCATCCTGCATGTTAAAATCAGAGTTACTGACCATTTTTCTGAAATATTAAACAAAAAATAGTTTCTATTTAAATATTTGAGGATTGCTTTAAATGCTTCAGCTGCAAAGAATAATGGGAATATTTCTTTTCCCTCCCGGGTGAAATCAACCAACATTTCCAGAGCTAAGGGGATAATACAGAATGTTTCTTTGTATTAAGACAGGACTGATACTAGCCCCTCAAGGGAAAAAGACCATCTGCCCGAACTGTGAGGTCACTCACTGGGTGTCGCTGTAGGTCCGTTCCACTGCGCTGGAGGCAAGGAGGAGGATCTGCGGCCCTCTGGAGACAAACTCCTCTGACCTCTCAGCAGAACTGCAGCTCTCTCGACTCTGACGCGACTCTGTGCTGCTCCTTGCTCGGCTCCGGCCATGATTCCACCAGGTGTATGGGCCTCCCTCTCTGCCTGATTAGGCTCTGTTCTCTGCTGAATTGACTCTTTGTGTTTTCGCTCCACAAACCCCACGGTAGTCCGCTGATGGCTGAGCCCTGCAGAAACAGAAAGCAGCATTCTTTTGTGTTACATCTGAAATGTGTCAGGCTGCCTGCACCTGTGTGTTTTTAAATGTTGCAGTGTTGTCATGCACGGGGTTGTTTTGTTGACTGTAGTGTCCGGTTGCCAATCGTCTTAATATGTTGCACCGGGGGCTTTTGCTGCTGCTACAAAGGAACGCTGACCCCTTTCTGTAGACGGCCCGGCTCATGTCCAGTTTCTGGTGTTGGCTTAGCAAAAGGAGAGAGGTATGCAGGAACTTAAAGGTGTGCTTGACTGAAAAACATTTTTAATGATTATTTCTGATTACAATCAATCACTGAGTTTTTCATGCAGGCTGCACATGGAAACAGTCTTCTACACCTCTCTCCTGGGCCTTTTCTCAATACTCAATACTGCTTGTTTCTAGCTCTGGTTAAACGACCTGATATAAAAATACAAGCCTACTGTAGTTTGTTCCTTAAATAACATTGAAAACATATTATTTGTATTATATTTGGTCCGCTTTGATCAAAACTGATAAAAAAACAAGAATTTTCCGTTGTTAAATGACTAAAAAAAATAAAATTTTCATCAAAACAGAGATACTCTGCTTTTATTTTGATAGTGGGTTAACTAATTAGCATTTTAAGGGATCGTGAAAAGTAAAACCCAAATACACACAGCAAATTTTACAGATTACACACAACTGTTTACAATAACAGACCAGTGTTTCCCTTACATAGGCGCAGCCATGGCGGCCCACCACGGCTGAAATCCCAGCGCCACGCCTACAAGATCCCAAGTTTTATTGATTTTTTTTTTTGCGCTGTTTCCCGAAGAAGCAGCGGGAACTACTCTGTTGTTGCTTGTGATCACAGCCGGCAGGCAGCAAGGAGGAGGAGGCAGGGCAGGGTGGTTACAGCTAGGGATGAGCCGGATACTCATTTCAGACAAGTATCCGGTACGGATAAAGCATTTTTGACAAATACGAGCATGACACGAGTAAAACTCGTAAATATCTGTAATCGTGCTGAAGGAAAATCCTCATTGGGTAACTGACTGTCTTCACGCTCTGTGATTGGCCAGTCACAGAGAGCGCCCGCCCCTCCCTACACACAAAACTGCAGTCGGGAGCTCAGTCCGTCCGGCCCATACATACATACATACATACATACACATACACATACACATACACACACACACACACACACACACACACACACACACACACACACACACACACACACACACACACACACACACACAGTAACGATCTCTCTGTGCTTGCTTCACTGTTGCTCACGTTTCTTCTGTACTCCCTAGGTTTTCTTCAGATCGCCTCTTTTTCGGTTGAATATTTAAAGTTACTTTTATCGTAACGTACGTGGTGCATTTGACAAGACAGAGCTGGAAGCGGCTCGTGCTGCGTCGGTCACTGCCTCCGCTACGGCCGGGTTTTTTTATATTATTATTTTAACTCTCTCTCTCTCCCTCTCTATCTCACACACACCTCAATCAACATTGTTTTGTTTAACTGTGTGTGGGAAAACAACGTTAGGAAAAAATCAGTTTAATCAAACTAAAATAAAATGGTTCTAGTTTTTCATATTTCCTAGTTCCTACTGCATGAGTTCAGATGTATTAATTCATGCACTTAAATATTAATGTTATGATTTTACTGAAAACTTGTTCTGTAATAGTTCCTTTACTATTGTGATCAAAACTATTTTATCTCAGTTCTGAGGCTGCTCTGTAAATAGTTTTCAAATAAACAATACACATAGCAACTTCTGATCAATCCATATCAATTTCAGATTTCAAATCAATCAAATCAAACCAGAGGGAAATTAGTTTCAGCACACACAATTCAGAGATCAGACATACATGGGCAAGACACATGACAAGAATTGGTGACTGTGGTCATTCGCAACCCGAGTCGCACTACCTTAATAGAGATCAGAGGGTTACATGAGGAATTGGTTCAGGTGGAGGGGAAAAAAGGCACTTCATAGCTACTCTCCCACCAGAAGGGCATCTTTGCTCTGCAAGAAAAACGCCTCAAGCAGATAAGCAACAGACATCAGACAACACAACATAACATGATACTCCAATGGGAAGGTGGTAGTGGTGGGGTGGGGGGGTGGGGGGTGGGATCCTGTTTCTCCAGCGAGAGCAGCCCTGTACGGCGCTCAGTCACTTTAGCCACAGGTGGGAGGGAGATCTTGGGAGGAGCGCAGAGCACATTGACTCCTGCAGGTTGATGACCTCGCCAGGCTGAAGTCCACCAATCCGAAGGCGGGGGGGAGGTAGGGAGGGTTTTCACAGCATCTGTCTGCATTCCTTCGTGGGGGTTGTTGTTAGCATCTTGAAGGCTGCTATGGCGTCAGATTCGGATAACAAGACTTTGTTTGGGTCAGGCAGAGATAATTTTCCTCTCTGCCTTCAGTCTTTAAACTGATCATTCAAGTCCTCCACTGAAAGCAATTTAGGTTTTAAACATCTCTACACCGTCCGGTGACCCTCTCCGAGATGACATACATTTTGCGCACTAATACCGGTAATGCAGCTAGAACATTGTCCAGCTTACGATTCACCTCGAGTAACGTCCCAGTCTGTGAGGTCTCCACACGGGCAGTGCTTTCCGTGGGTGCGGGTCGCCCTCCAATCGCTCCTGTCTTCCCAAATTTCCAGAAAACCAGATATCCTTCTACTCTAATCAGGAGAAATCCAGTGATCATCAGGCCGAATGTCCACACGTTTTCGACATCCTCAGTGGACAGCTGGGAGAGGCATACGATCTTCCACTCCTTCCAGGAATCGAGCATATACCCCGCCGGGTGTGTCCCTTGCGGGCAAGTGGGAGCCCCCTGCTCCGTTCTCATTGTTGAAAAAATCTTATCAATCGCGTTGAATGACCAATTCCTCAAATCCATAGTGAAAAATAGGGTTTTTCAGAAGAAATGCAGAGAAGCGCTCTGTGGGCAGACAGGACAAAGATCCTTGGGAAAAAAGATAAGGGAGCAAAAAGAGAAGTGTCTGTACTCCTCGCGTGCCAGAAGAAGAAAAAATAATGTATTGATGTAAACCACACCCACTAATTTCCAAATAATAAATAAGAGGTGCATTCATCTGTGTGTCTCCTTTGTTCTGCATTAGTGATGTTTTCAGCACCAGAACAGTGAAGCAAAGAAACAGATTTCTGAGTTTATGTTAGTAATTTTATTTATTAGGTGCATCTGACCTGTTCTATTTTTCTCTGAAATGAGATCAAATCAGTGCTTCTATGGGTTGACTCCTCTCTGCACTAGAAACATGTACTTTATTATAATGTTCACTGTAATGCATCTTGATGTTTTTAACAAATACATTAAATCAAAGATATTGGTCAATAATGCCAAATATGTAAATTTGTGTTTCAGTCATTTTTATACTGGCTTAAAAATACTTCATTAAGTCTACTAAGCAGGGGTGTAGAAGGTGTTTAACAGGGCCAGCCCAGTAATGATCTTGGACCAAAATAAAGAGGGCAGAAAGTCAAATAAAGGGGGGCAAAAGGAGATGATTTTCCAGACGCCAAGAAAAATTAAATGCCAAATAATGCTAGGATTTGAAAATCCTCACATTTCTATGTCACACTGTGAATTTGCATTCATGACCTCGCCCATCTTGGCTCGCGCCCGCCCACAAGAAGGGTTTGGGGTTTTTTTTTGCAGTGAGAAGAGAGAGCAGAGAGTGTCTTGATGATAGTGACTTTGCAACATGGCTGAAATCATAAAATATGATGGAAAACATCTAGATATTGACTGACCGTGACCTCTGCAACAGACAAATCAATAACGGTCGACCTCTAGTGGAAACAGCGCTTTATACTCACAGGGGGCCCGGCTCTCTGTGGCTTTGGTCTCTTCCAGCTCTATCAGGGCCCTCATCATGGGGGTCAGCGGGCTGGATCCCTCTCTTCGACCAGCCTCCCTGTGAGGAGCGCTCCGCTCCTGGTGCCTGGCCTGAAGCAGGGTTTGTTCACACTCTAGAGGAGATGCACACCTGCGAACCAGGAGCTCAGTAAATTATTTACACTCACGTCAAACAAGAATTCAAAATGAAACAAACCTACCTCCAGCTCCCTGAAGCTGAGGAGAAGTCCACAGAGCTTTCCGTTCCAGATGACTGATCGGTTACTGAACTTGCAGACCTCTTGTGGACACTCGACTGGTTAGTTTTAGAGAACGTTGATCTTCTGCTGCCACTCAGCTGGTCAGACCGAGAACGGGGAGACTTCCTGCAGGTGACATCTGGCTCTGTTTGGATTTTACTTGCTGAAAGAAGAAGGTCCGGATGATGGAAAAGTCTGCAGAGATAGCAGGAAATACGTTTAAGAACATCAATACTAGGGAGATAAAAACTGAGCTAGGGAGAAAAGATCAAATTTGGATTATTTATCTGCTCATATGTAAAAAGATGTAATCTCTCTCCGTTTAACATCTTTTTCTTGAGCTAGTTTAGTCCTCATAAAGGACAAGAAGTTCTGCGGATTTGGAAATGTTGACTGCCTAAGGGAAACCGAATATTTCAGGGGGAACATAATTTCCCACAACACCCGTTTCAGGTGGATCACGGCGCCTCGATGTAAACAAACATGCTGTCGCTACCAGCTTATATGGATATGGAGCGATCACTGGCTGCTCGTTAACCCCGACTGGTGAAGGAGTGTTGGTAAGCCGGGGACACGCTGGAGGTCAAGTAAACGATGCTGACTTATCCACCAGCTAATCGTAGCTCACGGCTGGCGTGGTGGAGATGGACGTCACGAGCTACTAGTTAGCCATGGCTAGAGCCGGGGAGACGCTGTGTATGCTGCGCGTAAATGTCCACGGATTACCAGCAAAAGGAGATCCAAGGCTAAAGGTAACGTTTGAGAAGAAGCCCTCTGTGTCGGAGCGTCTCTGTAACGCCTGGAGAACTACATCGCTGTTAGTAGAGTGTTGTGGAGATAAAGGAAACAATGCTGATTTAGCCACTGGCTAGCACATGAGCGCTGGAGCGTGTTGGGAGAGATGGCAGGCTGCGGGAAGAGAGGAGACTTGAGTGGAAGGAACAGACACGTTGGGACTGGATAGGGAGTTCTGTCGTCGTCGTCGTCTTCCTCCGCTTATCCGGGTCTGGGTCGCAGGGGCAGCATCCCAACTAGGGAGCTCCAGACCGTCCTCTCCCCGGCCACCTCCACCAGCTCCTCCGGCAGGACCCCAAGGCGTTCCCGGACCAGATTGGAGATGTAACCTCTCCAACGTGTCCTGGGTCGACCCGGGGCCTCCTGCCGGCAGGACATTCCCAAAACACCTCTCCAGGGAGGCGCCCAGGAGGCATCCTGACCAGATGCCCGAACCACCTCAACCGGCTCCTTTCGATCCGGAGGAGCAGCGGTTCTACTCCGAGTCCCTCCCGAATGTCCGAGCTCCTCACCCTATCTCTAAGGCTGAGCCCGGCCACCCTACGGAGGAAACTCATTTCGGCCGCTTGTGTCCGCGATCTCGTTCTTTCGGTCATTACCCAAAGCTCATGACCATAGGTGAGGATTGGGACGTAGATCGACCGGTAAATCGAGAGCCTGGCTTTCTGGCTCAGCTCCCTCTTCATCATGACAGATGGGCTCAGCGTCCGCATCACTGCAGACGCCGAACCAATCCGCCTGTCGATCTCCCGATCCCTCCTACCCTCACTCGTGAACAAGACCCCAAGAAACCCCCGGGAGACCCCGAGGGAGTTCTGGTACTAGGAAAAGACGGATGAACAACTTGAGGTGAGTTTGGGAGTCAGAGACACTAACCAGAGGCAGGTGTCCAGATAGTAGCGGGTGGGGGCCTGAACATGTGCGGCTTCCTTGTGTTGGACATGATGACGAATTGACAAATTTTATGTCTTTTGCTTTAATAGTTTTTTATTAAAACTAACAAGTACAGCAACGGTGTAGCTCTTCTTTTCTATTTCTGAGTTGAATTAGCAGACTCCATTCTTCCAGGGCGCACTGCTGCCCTCTGCTGGTTCTTTCAGGTTACAGTCATAATCAAACGGGTAACATGGAGCTGGTATGTCCCTAAACAGCTACTGTACTTTAAGACGGTGGATGACCATGGAGCGTCGACCACAGTTTATGTATATAAAATGTCTAATTTCAAATTGAGAGGAATATTTAGAATTGATGTTGGTGAGAAATATTAGTGAAATATTAGTTTGATATAAATAGACTGTGTAACGTGAGGAAATATGGGTTTTCTGTTCCAAAGGTCGTATTTGCCTGGCTGGGTCAAAGCTGGGTCACGCAGCAACTTTCACCCACAGATTAAGACCTGAGCCGACAGCAAGTCTGAAGAATTCCACAACAATCGCACACCTGGTCTCCAGAGGAAGGACTTCTCACACACCCTAGTCATAACAAAGTCTTAAACTTTCTTCATTATTAAAGTTAAATAATCATTTGATCACTTTGCTCATTATAAATGTATTTTAATCAAATGAATGATTATTATGCTTTGGGTAATCATAATGAACTATAATGAATCAGTATAATTAATTAAATAATGTTTTAAAGATGTTTAGCAATGACCTTCACACCCGCTCACACAGGTCTGGATTCACAGTAACTTCAAAACACATTTGCTCTGACGCACAACAAGTTTGCTTTGGGAAGAGAAGTGGTTTTGGTAAGTTAGTCAGTTCGAGAGAGAGAAGGAAAGAGAGCGGACGTGCGGGAACGAACACCACGGGGAAAGGAGCCCTGCCGGCTCTTTTCTCCCCCCACGCTATTTCTGTCAAGCCAGACAGAATAGCTGAAATGCAACCGCTTACGCAGACTCGTCCAGAGTCTTTGATTTCTTAGTTAATTTAAACTTGAGAAAGCGCATCTGCCGAAACGCTTCAGCAACGTGTACCGAGGTCAACTCTGGACTGGACCTTCGCACACCTTTGTCTTCTCTGTCAGCCAAGGTGTCATCTGGAGAACACATCCTCCGGGGTCTGGATCTAAAAGAGGGTCCTAGTGCGGTGAGGCAGAACACGACCAGATAGCGTTCTGATGCTGGTTTTCTAATAAGAACTAAAGTTTAATTGCAAAACATCATTTTTCACTCAGTTCACCTTCCCTCTCCCTGGAGCAATCTCATACACATGCATGCACGCATTCATAATTCCATCATTCTCAAATCTTAGCACATCCAACACAAGGTCTATTTGTGCAAGCTTAAAATATCAACTGTTAAAGATTGTCCAACATGGTTGCCAATGTTGATTGTTTCCTATGATTGTCATTTCAAAATCGTTAGTTTAAATTGAAGAATTAAAACTATTAAATTTCAAACTTGTCTCTTCATTGAACTGAAACACAGACACACGGATATGATCGTCAGTTTATCGATGAAAACAACCTTTGAGTCTTCTTATCTCTATAAATTTGGTTTTTAATTTTGTTAAAATTAATATTCCAGATTATTATGTAGAATGGTTCACCTTTCATAATGAGCCATAAACCATTACGCTACAACTGTCATTGAACCTGAACAAAACAAACTTTATACTGTTTAACAACAAAAGAAGCTGTGATGTATCTTTAACAATAGATGGGATGGAAATTCAAAGAGTAAAAGAAACCACATTTCTTGGCGTCATGTTTGATGAGAGTCTCACTTGGGAATCACATACAAGTTATATAAAGGGGAAAGTTGCCAAAGCCATAGCAGTATTATATAGAGTCAAGTAGGGATGAGCCGTATACTCGTTTCAGACGAATTTCCGGTACAGATAAAGCATTTTTGACGAGTACGAGCATGAAACGAGTAAAACTCGTAAATATCTGTAATCGTGCTGAAGGAAAATCCTCATTGGGTAACTGACTGTCTTCACGCTCTGTGATTGGCCAGTCACAGAGAGCGCCCGCTGGGGCTGGGCGATATGGCCTCAAATCTATATTGCGATATAATCTGAAGCATGTGCGGTAACGATATATATTGCAATATTTTTTTTCCTCTGTTTATATATGTCAAATTTGCATGCTTTTAAATATCCTTATGTGGCAAATATATGCCAATTGAGTCATATAGGCCTCCTCCTCCTCCGCCCACTCCATGCTTGCAGTCACTGCCATTCTGTTGCCCCAATGTCAGCAGGGTGCACATCTTAGTGACGTCATGTGTTATCACGATATTGCGGTATTGCAAAATAGCTAAAAACTCATTTCTACCTTATATCGTTTATATTGCCCACCCCTAGCGCCCGCCCCTCCCTACACACAAAACTCTGCAGCCGGAAGCTCTGTCCACGTCCGGTCCATCCACACACACACACAGACAGTAACGGATCTCTCTGTGCTTGCTTCACTGTTGCTCACGTTTCTTCAGTTCTCCCTATGTTTTCTTCAGCTCGCCACTTTTAAAGTAACTTTAAAGTTATTTAAAGTTACTTTTTTCGTAACGTACGTGGTGCATTTGACAAGACGGAGCTGAAAATGGCTCGTGCATGCATCACTGCCTCCGCTCGGGTTTATTTTTTCCCTCTCTCTCCTCTTCCTCAGGATCCACTCCCTCTTTCCTATAGACTCTCTCTTTCTTTACCTTTTTTAATCACAAGTGTCTATTTTTTGCTCATTTTAAATATATTTTAATCATTTTTTAAATTATTTTTTTCATTTCTCATGTTTTGTTTTTGTGAAGCGCCCTGTGACTTATCTTGAGAGGCGCTATAGAAAAGATCTCGCTCTCACTCTCACTCTCTCGCTCTCTCTCTGCACTTAAATATTAATGTTCTAATTTTATTGTAAAACTTGTTCTGTAATAGTTCCTTTACTATTGTGATCAAAAACATTTAATCTCAACTCTGAGGCTGCTCTGTAAATAGTTTTCAAATAAACAATACACATAGCAACTTCTGATCAGACTTAAAATAACGTATTGTTTTAAACCACACCCACTTCCGGTTAAACTACATCCACTTCTGGGTTAGGCCACGCCCACTCCAAGTACAGCTACAGATACAGGTAGTGGTGTACTCGCTCATCCCTAGAGTCAAGTTTCTACTAAATCGGTCTGGGTTATTAACGTTGTATCACTCACTGATTGAACCATATTTAATTTATTGTTTAGAAATTTGGGGAGCCACATGCAAAACATTTACTCAACATCTTAGGTGTGTTCTTGCTGTGTCTTTCTAAATCCATGCTTTCGTTCTTTTTTAAACACAGAAACAGTTTTGTTTACCTGTTTGTAGCTACAGTTTCGCCGACGGCTGCCGGCTTCTTCAGGCTGACGCTGATGGTGGCGCGTCACTTCCTTCTCCGTTTATCTGCGACAACGTCCTCTGCTGCCCGCAGATAAACGGAGAAGGAAGTGACGCGCCACCATCAGCGTCAGCCTGAAGAAGCCGGCAGCCGTCGGCGAAACTGTAGCTACAAACAGGTAAACAAAACTGTTTCTGTGTTTAAAAAAGAACGAAAGCATGGATTTACTCAACGTTTGTTCATTTTACAAAAAAGAGCATTGAGGATCATTAATAACAGTAACTATAGAGATCACACTAATCCATTATTCATTAGATATAAAATACTGAAATTTGGAAGAGTGAAAAATTTTGCAAATAATGTACAGAGGGAATTCAATTAATTTACCAACTGATATTCAGAAATGAGGGTTGTCACAGTAACCGGTATAGCGGTAAACCCCGGTAAAAAAGTTGACAATAAAAATAACCGTCCAGTTTTTAAAAAACTAAATTATCTCGGTGGGTTTACCGTGGCCGCGGTTTAGGCGCGGTGACCCTTACCAGCCACCGTCGCTTCTGCTGAAGTTCCCGCGCACACGCACTTTTTAGTTTGCAACCAAAACTTTGAAGCTGAAATAATGGCAGAAGGAGGAGACGGCAGCGCCCAGGACATCCATCAGCCCTCAAAGAAGACTAAATCGGAAGTATGGGCATATTTTGGATTTCTGAAAAGTGCTGAGGGACAGTTAATAGAAGACGGCTATCCCGTTTGCAGAACGTGCAGGAAACAAGTGTCTGCAAAAGGCAGCAACACTTCGAATCTAATGGCACATCTGCGTGACCATCACCCACGTCTCTACAGCCAGTGCAAGGTAAGTTAACATTAGCATTTTAGCTTAAATGCATGATGTGAGGACTTTTGGTTGAGGGAGAATGCAACGAGTCACTATATACTGCAGCCGCAGCATCCTCTGCCAGCATTTAAACCGTGTCACGGACACCCCCATATTAAAATGATGTTATGCATTATGGCTCCCATGGCGCAGATGAGTTGGTCGCCACTGCTCACCCTATTATTATGAATTTAGTAATGGTTACTGCTTGATGACATTTACCCTAATCTGCAATGATATATCATATTAACTTGAAGGACACAAAACGAGGATGATAATATTTTCCTAATTCAGTTTGTGTAGAACAGGACTATCAATGCTTTCGGAACATATGCAACACTGTTTAAAAAATACCGCGATAATACCGAAAACCGTGATAATTTTGGTCACAATATCCGTGAGGTTAAATTTTCATACCGTGAAAACCGGTACGTGTTAAAAGTAGTGGTGTGCATCTCTACCTGCCTCACGACTCGATCTGATTCCGATTATCTGCCTAACGATTCGATTTGAGTCTGAAATACATCACGATTCTTCACACAAAAATGACCATTACTTAATAAAAGCAGTAGAATAGTTTTCAATTTCTTTTTGATTTCAAATCCCTGAAAAACAGAACATTCATCTATTCACTATAGTGAGCAATACTGTTTAAAGTGTGCTGCCTATAATTACTTAAATAATATAAGAAATAATGTTTTCGGTAGAGCAGCTTTAAGATAGAATATTACTGAACTTAAAATAGTAAACAAATACTGTGTTAAGTGATTCTTTCACATCCAGGATCCCAAAACCGAAATTAGCCCAGACATCCAATTTAAATGTAACGGGTACATCTTTGATTACTGGTAATGTTGGCCCTGTATCCCTGTCCGCCTTCTCTGTTTTAAATTGGCGCTAGGGCAACGCAGCGCGCATGTCATTGCAACTCTGCCCCCAGAAGTAATTATAAAACCTCAAAACTTTATTGTCCTGCATAGACATAAACCAGGAGTCGGCAACCTGTTCCCATCAAAGAGACATTATTACCCGTTTCCCACAGTAAAGAAAACACTGGGAGCCACAGCAGCCGTGGCGTTGTGGGCGGGGCCTACCCTCAGACAGCAGAGAGCTGCTCATAACAGGTGACAGCAGCCGCGTGTATGTCAAAGTTATCTTTCATAAGAAGATAATCAATAAAACGATTTATATAATGTGGATCCAGAAGCTGTAGCCCGTCTCTGCCGACAATATTTAGATATTTTTCACCCTGTTGGTGGTTTTACTGAGCAGGTGCCACTTTTGTCATACGTTTCTTTTTAAAACATGTTTAGACTGTTCAGAATACAAATCCAGGCTCTGTCACGTTTGATTGTTGTAATTAAACTTTGTAGGTGGGGAAGGTCAGAAAAGGATCCGATCATTTTGTTTTTCCCTCATTTACAGTGACGGAGATAAAGGCGCAGTGCGCCTGGCTCTGGTGGTAATCAAGTTAAATTATATCAATTTGCAACAATTTTCACAAGAAAACAGAACAGTTAAAAGCAGGGCTTGTGTTGTGTTGACCGGATAGTTCCTGTATTTGACCGTTTACTTTGACGGAGAAAGAATAGAAAGAATTACCCCGACGCATGCAGACGAACTGACACTTTATTCGTTAAGCACATCGCAGATGTAGCTAAATCACTCAAGAAAAGATTCCCATCTGAACATCTGAGCTGGACACTGCTCAACGCAGCTCGCTGTCAGCGTGTACTACATAAGGTGCACAGCGAGCTGAAGATGTGGAGAGGGGCTTGGAGCGCGTCGCAGAACCAGAGCGCATGCGGGAAGATTCCTCCGACTGAAGCGAGACTTGTCACTTAGAAAATGTTCCCTGAATATGAAACTTTGGCTGAATAGCGCTTGTTCCTGTCTCCAATGTGGCGAAACATCCAGGAGCCGTCTGAGGAGAATCCCAGAATCTCACATCCTCTTCAGCTCAGAATGCGCCTATGATTACGCACAAGCGTGACCCGTCAACCCGGTCTCACAGTAAGACCGGGTTGGACCTGTTCAGGTTTACGCAGACAATCTTTACATTTAGAATTAGCATACAGATGAAAAATTAATGCAGTAAAATATAAAGCATTTTATTTAAATATCCATTCATTATTTTACAGATGGATGGAAGAGCCGCATGCGGCTCCAGAGCCGCGGATTGCCGACCCCCGACATAGACATAGGGAGAGAATCTCATTATGTCACGTTAATGCATCGATGCGGAATCATGCACGACTGAATCGCGATGCATCTTAGAATCAATCATTTTTCCCACCTCTAGCTAAAAGGGACTGATGTCTTTCAAAAAAACCTAAATTCAGAACCAAAATGAATGAATGTAATATTTCTGTAAATGGTGTAAGATTGTGGAACGCCCTTAACAGAGAAGTTAAAGAATCAAACTCACTTGCTATATTTAAAAAATGTATAAAATCAATTATATTAAGTAATTATGAAAAGGTAAATTAAAAAGTCAATGATTATATTTAAAAATTAGAAAGAGACTGAGGTTATATTGTATTGTTTTACAGATAATTTTCTTTTGTTAAAAGGGACAGAAATTATAAGATTTTCTTCTGTCTGTTCCTTTTCATTCAAAATTTTTTTCCATTATGTTTATGTTATGTATTTGTTTGTGTTTATTTTATAAATTGTGAATGAAATAAAAAGAATAAAAAATAAATAAAAGGACAAGTTTGTGAACTGGAAACACAGGATTTGATAGTAAACAGGTAAAAATATCACACACTGGGCCTTTAAGACCTTACCCAGCCCCAGAGGGTTGTGTGTTACTGTGGGAAGCGGAGCGGAGCCTGTCCTGGTTCTCGTGCTCCAGCTGCTTCACCTGGGACTCCAGCTTGGAGATAACTCTGGTGGGTTTAGAGACAGATCAGACAGAGTCATGAATGCATCACCCACAGCTCTTTGGAGCGGTCTGTGACTGGGCTTGTTCCAGCCTGGCCAACTGCAACATCAATTAACCTTTAGAGATAAAGTTATTCAAACAACCTGCCAACTGATGCTACATCTAATCCACACACCTCTTTAACTCAGAAATATGACTGTTGGCGTCGACCAGCTTGCCTTCTGCTGACACCAGGTTGTTCTGCAGAAACAAAAGAGTTAGAACGGCAAAAAGCTGAACAGCAGCGACTCATAGTGTGTAATCCGACATATTTTACAGATCCCATTAAATCTAAAAAGATGTTGTGAGATGAGTTTAGAGAGCTCACCTTCACCACTTCATGCTCCTTCATCAGAGAATCGTATTCTCGGAGTAGCTGAGGAAACAAAACCAGAGTCCTGCATTAAAGTCAGCCTTTACTGGTAGTGGAGTCTGTGAGTGGAGTACCCTGAGAAAATCCACCCAAGCATGATGACGTCTTTTACCGTAAATATGAATGTAACAATTTACATTTTAAACAAGGAAACTCAGTTAACATTACCCTAGAAGGTGTCCGTTACTAGCTGCCTGTGCAGCCCAGATTGGCGGAAACATGATGGCGGTAGCTATCGTTTCATTCACGTGACATTTACCCAGCACGTTGGGAGGTGAGGATGGGTTCAAAATGCTTGCCAATAAGTCTCAAATCACACGCTGGTGATTTCATGAAACAGATAAATAAGTTGATCAGTCCTCATAAATCTTATTTTGGAGCGTTTATTTTTCATATTTGTTATTTTATATAATTTAGAAAATAAAAAAGTGAACAGTTTGAGTTGATATTAGACTTTGTACAAAAATGAAATTAGGCTATAAGGACATTAATGGGAGCATTTTCAAGAATGTATTTGCTTTAAGTAATCAAAAACATAACTGAGTTAGTTTTTAAATAAGGTAACTAGTAAAAGTAACTAGTTACCATTTTCAGTAACACTGTTATCCAACTCCAAGCCAAAAGGCCACAGCCAGGTGGCAAACCTGCAACCCTCTCAAGAGGCAGCAGTGTGACCAGATGCACCACCATGCAGCCTGTTTTCAATTCAAAACAACTTTATTTATAAAACGCTTTTAAACAGCCTGTAGAATAGTTTCAATAAAGTTTTTTTCTGTCAGTTTGATCAGTCTGCACCCTGACTCACCCATGAGAGGAATTCAAACAGCGCTGCAGGAACCTGGCAGATATTTACCGTTTCAAGCTAAAATAGCAGATCTGATAAAAAAAAGCTAGCTAAAAACACAAACACCTTCTCTCCCGTTGGCTACCATCCCTGATAAGGAAACACACATTGCCAGAGGAAATGAGATAGCGCTAAACACCAGTCGTTGTTTTCTAGGTCCAAACATCTTTTGTTGTCTTCAAACGGTGTTTTTCTTTTTGGGACTCTGGTAGTTTTTCCTAAAGTTGAAGTGGTAGCAGCTGGCCGTTTCTCCTTCTCTGATGTTACTGAGAAGAGAACCTCACACCAGTGGTGTTCTGGTGTCAAATGGGCGAGCACATAATGAATGAAGGATTCAAGTAAATGTGGAGTTGCTGTGGTTTGGCGAGAACGTCAACCAGATGGTCCAATCGTTGGTTTCGAACTGAGCCGCGATATTGGCTGAGCTTTTTAGACAATAGAGTAGGGTTGGGTATTGTTTGATTTTGAACGATTCCGATTCCAATTCCTTGTTTCGATTCCGGTTCCTATTGATTCCCAATTCCGATTCCTTCAAGACATGACATGATTTACATGAGCCAGCTAATCACAGGTCCTACTTGATGAAATAATCTTAACTTCAACATGAATTTTAACTCTATGAACAACAACATCACCTTCATTTAGCCTAAAACATGTTATGGAGAAAAAAAGAAGGCGACTTGCAGCACAACCAGTGTGTTTGTTTCTGACCACAACCAAAGTGTGGAAGCAGCCTCTGGGATGAGAGGCTAAATGTCTCCAACATATCCAGAAACGTTCAGCTGTTTTCAGCTAAAACTCTCAGGATGATCATGTCCAGGATGACTGAGAACTACACCTCCATGCTGCAGCAGCATTCAGTCACAACAGGAAGTGAAGCTTAACCGTAGCTGCTGTCAGTAACAAGCTAACAGATTTAAACATTAAAACTCAACAGAAATAGTTCAGAAAGGAAATTAAAATGTTCACAGCTTTGTGTGTGATTTATTATTATTATTATTATTAATATTAGGGATGCACCAATACCGGTAAAGGTTAATCGATACCAGGAACCGATACCAATGCAGTTGCTTGAAAATGGCTTCACTGTAACTTGTCATTTCTGTTCACCTACGTTATACATCCCCGACGGGTGTTAAAAAGTGAAGGATGGGAGTAACATAAGACTGGACAGTGGATATTACAAATATTTTATTGTAACAAAAAGGTATAAAAAACGTGCAAACAGATGACGACGGTGCATTATAAAAATAATGCAAAACAAACAGAACTCTCTAAAACTCTGAAAAACGTTAACAGTACACAGCAAATTATCAACTATAAACCACCTGGTTAAAATTTGTATTAAAAGCTTAACCAAACAGAAGGCGTTTTACAATCCTGAAGTTGATAAAAGTTCCAAAACAATCCACTGACTAAATACACCTGGTAAAAACTTATTTTAAAAGCTTTACCACAACGAAAGGTGTTTAAAACCGAGTTCAGTAAAATTGCACAAACAAAGTTAACCTTAAAACCAAACAGCAAAAAGATCCCACTGGATCATCCAAAACTTCTCACTTAACAGTTAAAAACTAAACCAGAGTTTAAAACTAAACCAGAGTTTAAAACTCATCCACATAAAACTAAACGAAAGGGGTTGAAACCAAACCAAAAACAAGGAGGACAGCAGAACCCCTGCACTGCTACCTCCTAGACTGCTGAAGGCACAGCCTTTTTATACAGGTGTTGGCAATCAAGGAAGATTCAGCTCAGCTGTGCTCCTCAGCAGCCCGGGAGAGAGGAGGAGGAGGAGGAGGGGCAGTGTCAGGCTGTTTCACCAGAGTTGGGTGATCCTGGCTCCTGCTCTTCCCTGGCCAGACTGGCAACCGTAACAACCTAATATTTTAGTTTTGTGATGACTTCCATTCATATATTTTACTTTTTATCTACCTCACAGTCTTTTCCTGTTGAAAGCAGAGAAGAAAATAAAATCTGTATTCCAAATCATTGCATTTCTTTTGTGTGGTGCAAGTATCGGTATCGGTATTCGGCATCAGCGAGTACCCATATCCAAGTATCGGTATCGTATCGGTTTGGAAAAAAGAGGTATCGGTGCATCCCTAAATTATAATTATTATTATTATTTATTGTGAAAGAAGCTGGTGTGGTCCACCACAGAGAAGCTGCTCTAGCATGATGACTTTAATTAGGTTATTGTTCAGCCTTCTGACACACACGCACGCACACACACACACACACACACGAGTGTTGGTGAGCGGCTGCGTCTTGACTGCTGACGCTCCGTGTGTGTTTTTATTTCTGCAGTGAGACAAACTCACCTCACACCGTCCAGAGTTTGTTCTTTAAAGCTTCTATTAAATCCACCGTGTTGACGTATTTAACACGTTTCCTCTTCGCTGCAGGAGTTAACGTTTACATCACGGAGTAAAAGTTCAGCGGACGCGTTTGTTTATATCTGGGTGGGGGGAGGGGGGCGGTGCTGCACACAGACAGCTGGTGTGATCAGCTCTGAAAAGCGTTGATCACAATTTGCAGATCACGTTTATTTTTCACGGAGATCGGCCGCGGATTACTCTTCCGGTCGGCATTCTAGGAAACAAAACTAGGAATCAAAATAAAAAACTTTAAACGGTTCTGGGAAAAACTAACAGTTGGTCCCGGTTCCAATCGATGCTCGATGCCCAACCCTACAAATGAGAAAGAACCACTTTATTCAGACTTCCCACAGGTTTCATCAAGTTAAAGTCAAGTCCACTTATGTAAAAATCTAGTAACTCTCACAGCCCTACTGGCAAAAAAAAATCCTTGAACTTGTGTTCGTTTATTTATATTTTTATTATAGTTAGCCAAAACACTCGGTAGAGAACAGTGCCAGAGCGGTTTGAGCTTTTTCTTGAGCAAAAACAACAAAGCTACAGTGCAAACAGTAAAGGCACAAAATTGAACTGTATGTATAAAATAGCCTTCGTTAATGCTCGACTTCATGCCGTAATAACAACCCTGCTAAACTGCTTTTATAATGCTGAGAAACATATCTCTGCGACTCGGACTCCTCAGGAGTTTAGGAAGGTGATGAACTCGGGTTTACTGTTTTGCAAAGACTTTCCATGTTTCAGCTCTCAAGATGATGCCCTGCACGACGAGGTGCTGTATTGCCGCCATTCCTGATTTTCGTGGCATCAATCTTCTCGCTGGTGTTGCATCTAGCTGCTGCTTCCTTTTGCAAAATGCACCCAAACGTTTGAGTCTTTGTAGTATTTTCATCCGCGAACTGCAGAGAAGTGTTGTAGAAAGGAGACGCGTCTCCTCCACTCATAACGTAACTCTGGATCAGTTGTATGACCCGCGATGGCACATAACTCACGTGTTCAGAGTATTTTGACCCGAGGCTGCGTTCTCAGTTATTGGTTCCGCCTCTCTTGATGCTACGTTATTTAATAAAAATGATTGTGGTTGACAAATTAATCTTTAGAGGACAAATACAGTACAGAGAATTTACACATGAAACAAATTGTAAGACCCAGTTGTCAAAATTCAAGACTTTTTAAGGTATTATTTCCAAAATCATAAATTCAATGCTTTTAAGACTTTTTAAGACCCTGCAGGAACACTGTTTATTTATTTTTGTTCTTTTTTATCCATCCATCCATTTTCATCACCTTAAAGTTAAAGTCCCATTATTTGTCACACACACAGGTGTGTGTGCGAAATTTGTTCTCCGCATTTGACCCATCCCCTGGGGGAGCGGTGAGCTGCAGACACAGCCGCGCTCGGGAACTATTTGGTGGTTTAACCCCCCAATCCAACCCTTAATGCTGAGTGTCAAGCAGGGAGGCATTGGGTCCCATTTTTTCAAAGTCTTTGGTATGACCCGACCAGGAATCGAACCCCTGATCTCCCAGTCTCAGGGCGGACACTCTTATCCAGAGTCGGGTCACGGGGGCAGCAACCTAAGTCGAGAGGCCCAGACTTCCCTCTCCCCAGCCACTTGGGCCAGCTCCTCCGGGGGAATCCCAAGGCGTTCCCTGGCCAGGTGAGAGACATAGTCTTTCCGTGTCCTGGGTCTACCTTTAGGCCTCCTCCCGGTTGGACGTGCCTGGAAAACCTCACCAGGGAGGCATCCAGGAGGCATCCTGACCAGATGCCCGAGCCACCTCAAGTGGCTCCTCTCGATGTGGAGGAGCAGCAGATCTACTCCGAGCCCCTCCCGGAAAACCGAGCTTCTCACCCTATCTCTAAGGGAGAACCCAGCCACTCTGCGGAGAAAACTCATTTTGGCCGCTTGTATCCGCGATCTCCTCCTTTCGGTCACTATTCAAAGCTCATGACCATAGGTGAGGGTAGGAACGTAGGTGACCAGTAAATCGAGAGTTCTTTTTTTTTATCTCCACAAAATGTTTATGGTTATACTATTTTAGAATGCTATTAAGAGGCATGAAAAAAATGTAAACTAGCTTCTTCTGGCACTCGCAGAGTACAGACGCTTCTCTTTTTGCTCCCTTATCTTTTTTCCCAAGGCTCTTTGTCCTGTCTGTCCACAGAGCGCTTCTCTGCATTTCTTCTGAAAAACCCTATTTTTTAGAATGGATTTAATTAATTGGTCATTCAACACGATTGATACGATTTTTTCTACGATGAGAACGGAGGAGTGGGCTCCCACTTGCCCACAAGGGACACACGCAGCGGGATATACGCTCGATTCTTGGAGGGAGTGGAAGATCGTATGCCTCTCCCAGCTGTCCACTGAGGATGTCAAAGACGTGTGGATGTTTGGCCTGATGATCATTGGATTTCTCCTGATTGGAGTGGGAGGATATCTGGTTTTCTGGAAATTTGGGAAGACGGGAGCGATTGGAGGGCGACCCGCACCCACGGAAAGCACTGCCCGTGTAGAGACCTCACAGACTGGGACATTACTCGAGGTGAATCGTAAGCTGGACAATGTTCTAGCTGCATTACCGGTATTAGTGGGCAAAATGGATGTCATCTCGGAGAGGGTCACCGGACGGTATGGAGATGTTTAAAACCTAAACTGCCTTCACTGGAGGACTTGAATGATCAGTTTAAAGACTGAAGGCAGAGAAGAAAATTATCTCTGCCTGACCCAAACAAAGTCTTGTTATCCGAATCTGACGCCATGGCAGCCTTCAAGATGCTAACAACAACCCCCACGAAGGAATGCAGACAGATGCTGTGAAAACCCTCCCTACCTCCCCCCCGCCTTCGGATTGGTGGACTTCAGCCTGGCGAGGTCATCAACCTGCAGGCGTCAATGTGCCCTACGCTCCTCCCAAGATCTCCCTCCCACCTGTGGCTACAGTGACTGAGCGCCGTACAGGGCTGCTCTCGCTGGAGAAACAGGATCCCAGCCCCCCGTTGGAGTATCATGTTATGTTGTGTTGTCTGATATCTGTTGCTTATCTGCTTGAGGCATTTTTCTTGCAGAGCAAAGCTGCCCTCCTGGTGGGAGAGTAGCTATGAAGTGCCTTTTTTTTCCCTCCTCCCGAATCAATTCCTCATGTTACCCTCTGATCTCTATTAAGGTAGCGCGACTCGGTTGGCGAATGACCACAGTCACCAATTCTTGTCATGTGTCTTGCCCATGTATGTCTGATCTCTGAATTGTGTGTACTGAAACTCTAATTTCCTTCTGTGATTAATAAAGGATCTTTGATTGATTGATTGATTGATTGATTGAGATTTGTTATTGTGGCTTTAATGTTTTCATTATCAGAGCAGGTGACAGCAGATAAGAGAAGTTATTTACATCTCTTAAACTAAATAAATATCTAAGATGCATTTAAAGTCTGCTGCCTACCTGCGTTAAGAATAAAACACTTTAGATTTAAAGGTGTTATGAACAGGAGGGCTAACTAAAGGAAAGAATGTCAGACTTTTCTCATTGCAGTTTGAATATTTAAACTTTACTTGATGTGACTCACATCCTGCAGCATCTTGTACTCTCTCTCTCTCTTTGCCTCCTTCTCATCGGCCTCCCTGCAGGCTTTCTGCGCCGTCTCCTCCAGCTGCCGGACTCTGGTCTTCAGACGAACGTTCAGGGCGTCTCTCTCCTTGCCTGAGCGGTTGCTTTCTTCTAGTCTATGCTGTAGCGATTTGACTGTGGCCCCTGCTACGGCGTAGCGCTCTGGCCATTCCGCCTAGCAACAACAGGCAACAACCTTCATAAACACGATTGAAAGATTAGGGGAAAACATGACAATATGAGTGTCCAACACAATCTGTGTGGTCCGTGCAGCTTTCTCTGGTTTCTTTAAATTATTCTTTTATTGTGAAATAAATGTCAAATATCTAAAGGAAATGACAGTCTGTTTCAGTCCAAGTGTTGTTTTTATTTTTTTTGCTTCCGCCTATTTCTTCTACTTGAAACCTTCTTAGGATCCAACCATGTAAAACGGGACTTGTGGCCATTTTTCAATAGGCCTTAAACTTAAAGGCATACTTTGCAGTTTGGCTTGCTTTCAGCAACCACTAGTGTACATTAGTAAAACCAAAAGTTAAACACCTTCATCTAACTCCTCAGCCTACTTTCAAAACTTTCTTTTGCTGAATGATGCCAAGACAGAGGCTATCATTTTCAGCCCTAAGACTTCTCCAAGCCCCCAACTGACCCTTCCTTTTATTTCAAGTGGGTTGAAAACCCGTGTCTCAAACTTAGGGGTTGTGATGGATGCTAACCTAAAAATGGACATTCATGTCAACCAGGTAATTAAGACCTGTTTTTACCACCTGAGGCGTCTCTCTAAACTTAAGCCCATTTTAAAAAGGAGTCATCTCCATTCAGTTGTCCATGCCTTCATTACCTCCCGTCTCAACTACTCTAATTCAGTACTATACGGCATCTCCTTCTCCACTCTCACTCGCCTTCAGCTTGTGCAGAACGCAGCAGCCCGATTCCTGACTGGCACCAGGCAGCGAGAACACATCACACCGGTTTTAGCAAATCTCCACTGGCTCCCCATGTATTTCCGAATATTTATTTATTTTTATTTATTTATTGAGAACCTCATTAGCTCACACCATAGTGTGGAGCTATTCTTCCTGAGGTCTCTTTCAATTTCATTACAAATATTTTACGAAACCCCCCCCCCCCACACACACACACACACACACACACACACACAACAACAACAAACTCCAGGAGCTCATTATAATCATACCAGCTCAATTGCTATAATGATATACCAATAAGTTACCACACACTTCAGCGTTCATGAAAAATCTAAATAGGTGAAAACGGAGAGTTTACACAGAGCAATAAATAACTATATCCAAGAATCAAAAATCATATCACATCACATCCATAACAAACAAAAATTATAGAAACCCTAACCCTTAATCCTGACGCATGCGCACCATGAAAAATTGAGTTTAATATAAATAGAGTTTAAGATCCTGGTTTTGTGTTCAAATCCCTCAATAACTTAGCACCTGGCTACTTGTCTGAGCTCATTCGCCCTTATGTCCCTACATGATCCCTCCGATCAGCCGACCAGCACCTTCTTCATGTCCCTAGCTCCCGCTGTAAGTCCCGCGGGGAGAGCGCTTTTTTAGTTTGTGCACCGAAGCTCTGGAACCACTCGCCCCTCCTGATCAGACTCTCTTCCTCTCTTTCCCTTTTTAAGTCTTGTTTAAAAACTCACTTTTACTCTCTGGCTTTTAATTCAGTCTAATTTATTCTCTTTTTTCTTTTCTTTTGTACCTGAATCACTCGATTTTAATGGATTTAGTTTTTATTACGTTTAATAGTTTGTATTGTGTGTTTTTGTTCAGCACTTTGGTCAGCTCTCATGCTGTGTTTAAATGTGCTATACAAATAAACTTGGTATGGTATGGTCTGGTATGGTATGGTTTGGTACATTAGTGTCTACAGGAGCGGTTCATCACTAAATCAAACAAATCAGCAGTATTCGTGATCTGAAACAAGCTGGAACCAGATTCCACCTTCAGGCATGTAAGCTCCATCTACTAAGTCCAACAGAGACTGGACCGGTACTCTGACGTTGCAAGTGTGACACTCTGGCCACAGAGGCGGTGGGGGTCTGAGTGACATTTCAGTAATCCTGCAAATGGTTATTTTAGCACAAATTGGCTCAAGAAAATTTTTTTAAAATATGAAAAAGTTGCATAGCATGGCTTTAGGAAACTTAAGAAAATACCAGTTTTTTCTCCAGTGAGCTGTTTGTTGCCTCCAGTTCTTGGATACGGCTTGTGGCATCAGCTAATGCTTTCTGCAGATGTTTGCACCTGGAGATAAAAACAGTAAATGAAATAAATTCACACCATTTATTCAGACTTTGACATAAAGTTTAATGAATGTTTCTCAAAGGCCAAGTTTTTGGTTTGCTTTAGTGTCTGAATTAAGACTGTAATGGTAGACGTAGGATGTAATGGTACGTGTACAGACGCCTTTGAAGAGTCTGTCATACCTGGTCGACGTGGGCTGGTGTCAGTACCAGACACTGGTTTGTTTGTTGAATGGGAACGATGGAATACAAGCTGGAAATCTTAATGTTTTGTTGCAAGCTCTCGCATGCCAGAAACAATGGAGGAGGTCAGAAGGAGAGCAAAGATAAGCGAGAGCTCGCTCGTGCGAGTGGAATCAGGCAGAAGATAAGGAGGAGTGGTCCAACTGAACAGGAAGCAGCAGAAGAGGTGGTACCAAAGAAGGCCAACTGAAGAGACATCTCAAGAGATGAAAGTCCTCTGTGGAAAGTTCTGGACTTTGGGTGGAGACTGAGACCAGCTTACAAATATAACATCATATGGGTTTGGCTGTCTTGTGTTAGACCAAGATATGAAACTGACAAATAATCACATTGTTTTGCTGTCTTGTGATAAAAGGTGTATGTAACTGGCAAAAGATTACATTGTTTAGGCTGTCTCATGACTAGTTGAGATATTGCTTCACTATGGAAAATGTTTTGCTTGGCAGTTTTTTAGAATGATATAAAAAGGGCAGTTAGAAGTAGAGAGGGAGTTGGCCTTAGACAGTTAGTGTTGACACAAGTTGATGAAGTAGCAGCAATTATTCTCAGGAAGATTTTTAGAAGTAGCATCCTCCGAAGGAGATTGTTAATCTTATATTTACCCTTTTTTGTATTTTTTTATTTTGAAATAAATTTTTTGGAAAAAGAATCCTCGTTCTCAATTCTTAAAGGTCTCTTTTAGCCTTTTGAGTTGGGAGCCCCGACCAGACCTAACGGAGAGGTAAGCCACCTTGAATTGCTTGTTCCTGTGCTTCAGGACTTGTTTTCAGGCTGTGACAGATTAAGAAAAGATACCTTAGGTAATGGGGGCAAGTCTCCCCTCCTCCTAGGTAGCGGGACACCCTAAGGATTATAGATCATAATGGTTCGATGGTTCAAACAGGCTCTGTTCTGCAAGTGTGAAAAAGTCTCTGTTTAGCGTGGGAAGGAACCATTTCAAAGGGTGGATTAATTAGATTAATTGATAAATCCATGTTAGCCTGATCAACTAACAGGAATCATTTTCTAGCTACCACTGCCCACATTGCTGACAGAGGCGCAAATTAATCCTGATAGGACCCAAATAATAGTCACCTAGATGGCCTCTAGTGAACTTCTGCCCTAGTATTTAAAACCATTAAATAACGGGAGAGTTAAAAGGGAAGTGTGTTATTAAAGAAGAACAAGTACGACAATCTTCAGTCCACCTTAAAATAGAAAACGAGTTCTAAGTAGGGAGTCCAAACCAGGGTCAGTACGATAAAACTCACCTGCGGCCTCAACCTCCCTGAAAACGCAGCGTATTCTAAGGTTCTAACGGAACCAGGTTCTAATGGAACTAATAAAAGTACACGCTCGCGACAGTTTCACTTAAAGGGACTTTACAGACTTTTGAATTTTTATGCTCGCGATCGCCCCCCAGGCCAAAAGTGAAACGGCAGCTTCAATAGTAGGCTCGTGCACGAGGCGCGCATGCTGTACGTGCACACTCCTTAATGAAAATAACAGCTGAGACAGTCAGCTCCGTGTGTCTGTGTGTGTGGCCCACAGGACAGAGGACAGGAGAACGCACAGCTAATTAATTAAATAATTTGGTTCTGTACCTTTCTCTTCAGCACAGGGGACAAAGGTTTATGATGGGTCAGTCCTCCTGCATGCTCAGATCATTCCCTTCCCTTGCTTGAAAAATTGTTCCAAAATGAAAGTTGAACCCACATCTTTTTATCTGTGAATTCAATGCCGTTCGGCGAGTCTCAAATAAAAATTTGGGCATCTTACTGTAAAAAAATATACCATTAATGTAAAAAAGAAACTCCAAATAACAAACTTTATTCACACCCGGAATCGAACCCAAGTCTCCTACATGAGAGTCAGACATCTTACAAGGTGAGCTACACTCTAGTAACATTCACAGTATCTGTAACATTTATATCCTTGATGACAGCTGAAACAACATCAAACCAAAGAACGGTTCGGAGTGAAAATGGCTATTTTGTTGCTAATTAGCAGGAAATATCTAGAAGAAAGTTCTACAGAAAGTAGCTAAGGGTCCTCAGAAATTTAGCTAGCTTTGTCACTAGGCGTTAGGAACAGCGACAAAGTGGCACTGCCTCTCTCTCTGCTGCTAAAGCTATGGATAGCAAATGCTACGGGCGATGCCTGAGCGTGAACGCGCATGAAGCAGCCTGCTCGACCCGAGCATCTCTCTTTTTCTGTGATTTTACAGAAAAACAGGCAATCACAGTAAAAATGCCAGGGCTCATTCTACAGGACCAGGGCATTGCAGGAGAATGTATGAAGAAGACATTTATTATTTCTATACATGTTTTGGCTGTCAAACTTCCATAATGACCCTTTAAGATAATACAGAAAGTTTAAACTACAGTTTGTGAAAAATGGGACTCTTAAAGAGCAAGTAACGTCTAAATTAACTTTTTTTTTTGCTGATGAACTGTATAAATGTGTGTCTAATAGTGTTTTAAATGTGTGTATTCATTATTTTAGCATTTTGGTGCATTTTCTTTAAAAATTAAAAATTCTGCCTAAATACCACAGTATAGCGCCACCTTCAGCTTAAAACATAGAGTTTGAGTCATTTTGAATAAATTTTAATAATAATAATAATAATGCATTGAACTTATATAGCGCTTTTCTAGACACCCAAAGACGCTTTCACACACTCACATTCACACACTGCTAGTGATGGTAAGCTACTTGTAGCCACAGCCGCCCTGGGGAGGTCTGACAGAGGCGAGGCTGCCATTTGGCGCCGTCGGCCCCTCTGACCACCACTAACACAGGCAAGTTGGGTGAAGTGTCTTGCCCAAGGACACAACAGCAGGATACCCCTGGCGGGAGCTGGAATCGAACCCATGACCCTCCGATCATGAGGCAATCCGCTCTACCACCTGAGCCACTGCTGCCAATGGCTAAAGAGTAAGATACTACGTAAACCAGTAGAGTACTATGTAGCAGCTCTGTGTCAAAGTTATAAAAGCATCGAGCGTCTCGGCCACGCCTTGTGGCGAGTTGGGGGTTGGATTTGCAAGCGAGTGTAGGAGGTTAGCGGTAGTTCAGCACTAGCATATAGCATTGGCATATCCTAATCTTTAGCATAGCTTTTAGTGTTATACATACTTATTTAGTGTTAGTTTGGCTGTTGGCTATTGTAGTTTAGTTAGTGTTTGGCTGTTAGTGTAATTAGGAAAGTAGTTCAGGTTTAGTGCTCCATATCGTGTTAGTATGGTGAGAAGGTGTAGTGTAGTGTGGTTGCGGTGGCTCTGTGGGGTTGCACTCCTTTCCGCTGGACTTAGAAATTAGGCGCCAGTGGTTGCACACAATCGGTGTCTGGAAAACATTCAGCTCCCACCTGGTGCTGTAGTTTGCAACCAGCATTTTACCCGCGATTATGCACGTCTCCGTTTGAAGAGGGAGGCTGTGCCCACCGTGGCTCTCCCGCGATTTAGATGCAGCCCACCGACTCTGCTCCCCCACCATGACGGGCTCCAGTCTGAGGTGAGTAAGCTAAATAAAAGTTTTAACATCTTCTAAAGACAATTTCCTACCTAAATGCAAAGTTTGAGAGACGTGGTTCACTTCCTTTAGCTAGTCAGTCGGTAATTCTACAACAGTGGCTCTAACTGATGCAGCACTAGTTGACAGACAGCATTACAGCGTGAAATCCAGCTTGTGAACAGGTTCTGTGAGGAATTATGTGCAGGAGGTCGCATTTCAGGCTCTCTTCACATCATATGTGACTGACTTTTACGTTATAATAACGATAACACACTAGGAATGTTATAAAGTGCCTATATAGGACAGTTTCTTTTGTATTTTATCTGACTTTATAAACAACAACAACATGCTTCTATTTTTTTTTTTCAGGCAAAATCTGCCCAAGACACTGGCTGTCAGACTGATTTAGTAGTCTTCAAGAATGCACTTGTCCAGGCAGACGTGAAGCCTTACTCGTAGCAAAGGTGAATTATTTTTAATAATCGTCTATGTAAACATTTTATTATCACCTTCTAGTTTTTATTTGTTTTACAGATTAATGTTACATGTGATTTTATGCTCTTTTAAACATTTATAAATGTGCTACTTCTTTGTTTTTTACATAGCCACCCAGAATAGAGCTCACAGCCGCTGTGTGTCTTGTGACACAGGGACCATGATAGAAATTAATCTTCTAGAAAGTCCCAGAGCAGCGTCCACACCCCTGAAAAGACCACGATGTGAGGTGTCTGCTATTGATTCCAGCTTCCACGTCAGTGACAGTGCAAGCTCAGTGAACTGTTCAAGGTAAAAAAAATTAAAACATTTCAGAATTTTTAAGATATTAACAATTAAATAAGTATGTGATTACATCATGACATCATGAAGGAGGCTACTGATTCTGCCCCTGTGACACTTGGTGGTGACGTGTGAGCGGATTCACCTGGTAAATAACTTTTACATTAAATATTTTGTTCTTTGCTATCAAAAAAAAATTAACTAATAACCTGCATTATTGCAGGACACTCAGCAAAATATGGACTCTACACCATGAGGCAGGCACATGTTAATACTCTATAAGAGTACTGGTTAGGGTTAGGTACTCTTTAGTCTGTTTTTTTCTCACATCTCAGCCTGGCTGGTCACCACTGGAGAAGAGTATCTTCTCAGACTCACACCAACATCCCATTTTACCTCAGGGCCTCCTGATCTACCAGAAAAACCTGTAGCTCCATCCTTGCTCTGCTTTCCACATGTTTCTCATCATCTCTGGAAGCGAACTCC